TATAGAGAGAGAGAGAGAGAGAGAGAGAGAGAGAGAGTTAGCACAATAATTTCATTGCATGGTTTTAATCTATGACTATTCAATGATTAATCACTTCCCTTGGATAGCTAGGTAGCTTTTTCTCACTACTCAGATTGAAGGATCTTCAAGGCAGTTGACAGTTGTCTTGGCCACACTTCTGCTTTCTAATTAAGCCAGCTTCAGCATCTATTCTCAAGCAATACACTCTTAATTTTAATACACAGCAAAACGTCCCTCTATCTGAAGGCACTTTTCTATAAATTTTAAAGTAAAGATCCTTAATCTATGTGAAACATTCCTGCCGCATGCCACTTCTGCTTTCTGCTGAAGGCAGTCTTTTGCAAGGGTCTTCCGCTTGCTTCTACTAAGTGGAGATGTTTGTGCAAGCTGGTTCTTGCTAGTGTCTGACTTCCCCATTTCTAACTCCTCTTTAGCTCAGCTTCTTATTAAGCCTTAATCATTAATTGATTTCCAGCAATGCAATTTTTTTTTAAAGCAAGGTTCTTTTAAAACCAGAAGCCCCTTATATTATTGCATTTCTTACAGCCATGCGAGGCATAAGTACATAATCTGTATATAAACTATGTTTCCTTTTTAAAAAGTATTTGAGTGACATCTGAGGCCTTTTAAGGCGGGGGTGCATATTTAAATATCACACAATATTTCAATTCATTAGGGGAGTGTCTTTTTTGAAGAACATGTTCCACCATAGGGACTTCTCTGTTTTGGTTATGAATTCTATTCATGTTTTAACTGCCCTTACCAGTATTCCTACATATAGTAAAGCACAAGGGCACTGTACGAGATGTACTACTCTTTTGCTGGAATAATTGGACAGGTTCTGAAATTTAATAACAGTACCAGTAGTAGGATTTATAACCCTCTTCCCTTCTAGGGTCATACCACAGGTGGTACAATGCCGACATCGATAGTAGCCAAAATTTTCCATTTTTAAATTCTCCCCCACCAGTGGTTAATGTCAGATCTTATTAAAAAGTTCTTGATGTTCCCTGACCTCCCAAAACCCATCAAAGGCGGTTCCCTACAACCCAGTAAATATGATACTACATAATAGGTTTTCAGCGGGCAAGGAACATAAAAAACTTTTAAGTAAGATCTGACATTAACCATTGGAGGGAGGAGAATTTTAAAATTGTCAAAAATAATCCTGTATGAATGGTGGTTAAATGATATTGACAGCTTTATACTTTGCGATTGTTTAGATGTATTTGGCTTCTATACACTGGGAGTCCCAGTTTTCTGTGTGACCCACGTGGAGCATGGCATGTTTGCTTGTTTATTTATTTATCCATTCAAATTTATATTCTGCCTTCCCCGTAAATGGGCTCAGCATTTATCACAACAAATATATAGGCCATTAGGCCTCACAAAAGGCAATAATAGTTTATCAGAACTTTAAAACAAAGAATTTAAAACCAAATTGCACAGTCTCCGATATTGGTGCCGCCAAATATATAGGCCATTAGGCCTCACAAATGGCAATAATAGTTTATCAGAACTTTAAAGCAAAGAATTTAAAACCAAATTGCACCAATTATTGCACAGTCTCCGATATTGGTGCCACTGGAGTCTAAATTTGTTTAATCTGAGATTTTGCGGAGGACTATTCAAGTTTTGTGGAAATATGGTGAGCGTACCTAAACTATGTGGACTCTGGAGGGACACTGCCAGATACCTCCTTGCTGGTAGATGTATTTACTCTCTAATATTTTTAAAGTTGTTATTCACTTTGGTAGATTGTTATGTATTTTTACTGGGATATGGCTTTGTAGTTATTGTTGTTGCATGTATAATTGTTTATTACTGTATCTGCTTGGTTTACAAAGAATAAAGGGATGATGATAATGATGTTTGTTTGTTTAATCTGGGCCGCATAAAAACGGTGTCTTCAGCAGCCGTTCAGTAACAAGGAGAGGCTTGGGCCTTCTGGAGTGTATGGCTTGCCTTTGTATTAAAGGGTCTCCAAGACTACTGGCTGGACCCAACAGGGTTACTCTTACTTCCAGACAATCTGATGATAATGTGGTTGTGCTCCAAGCAGTATTACTTTAACAATAAAAGAAGTGTGAAAATCCATCAGCATGTTCCAGGGGTGGGGCTGTCTTTCTCATTGTGTGCCTTGCCTCTCTGAAACCCACTTCCATTTAAAATCCTCTCGCAAACAGGCTTTGCGGAACCGATAGATATAATGAGCGCCCAGGATTTCCGCGACATCATGGAACTCAACACTGTGAGCTGTTTCTTAGCATCCAAGGTGAGTGTTTCTAACACTGTGAGCTGTTTCTTAGCATCCAAGGTGAGTGTTTCTAACACCTCAGGAGCTTCCTCTGTTCCCCGAGAGTAGCTGGTTTCATCCGGAGTTGAAAGTCCAGTGGGAAAAAACCTGGAACGGTATTCAGAGGTATAGTGCTGTCCCTGTGTCTGTCAGTTTTCTCCTGCCCAAATCAGAACAACAGGGGATGGGCCATGGCTCCACAGCTGAGGATCTGTTTTACACCCAAAGGGCTCATCTCTGCTATCTCCAGTTGCAAGGATTTCTGCTAGCCATGATGGAAAAGGTCTCTGCCAATGGACAGTTCTAAGCTACACCACCTTCATGAGTTTCTGTTTTAAGGTCAGGCACACTGTTTCTGTTTCTCTTTTGTGTACAGTATGCGCTGCCCCACTTACGGAAAACGAAAGGAAACATCATCAACATAGGCAGTTTAAGTGGTCTCATTGGGATTAAGAACGGTTTGTCGGACGCTGCAAGCAAAGTAATCCTGACCCAAGGACAGAGAAGTGAAGGCTGAAGGACTCTGAATTGTGCCTTTGAGAACTTTGAAACGGGATGATTGGGGGTACTGTTTTTAGACAGTTAAATTTAAGGTTGAAAGGGAAAGTATTATAAATGTTTGACTCAGTTTATAATGATATAAATGATGGGAAGACTGGATGTAATTAAGCTTGTGGGAGGATCTCCTCTCTTGGGATTTTAGTCAGTAGTGGGTTCTTTACTTTATCCTGTAAATGTAGTTTCCCCCTCCCTTCTTTTCTGTGATAGTTTTTTGTAGTGTTATAAAATATAATAAAAAATCCCCTCCGGGGGCTCAAAAAAAAGAAGACGGTAATCCTGACCCAAGGACAGAATCCCCCCCCCCCAATGCTTCTACTCCTGAGCCTTTAATAACAGCTTGGCTGGCAGATGAAGGTTTGCACAGCATGGAGATGGCCAGTGATAGTGTCTCCATTCCCTGTGCTTTGAAAAACTCCACCTGCGGGCTCTCGTAAATCAAGGTGCTCCCAAAGGCACAGGAGGAGGCTGGCTTGATATTTTTCAGTTCAGATGTCAGTCCTCATACATGAGTCTAAAGCCAGTCCATAACCAGTAAAGGTTTTATGGAACGCCCGTTTGCTTTTTTCTCCTTATCGGACTGAAAAAAGTTCACTTAAGCCTCCAAGGCTAAAGCATCCTGCATCTTTCACTTTTATGTGAGAACCCCAAGTAAGGTTGCCAACCATCTTCAGAAAATGAAATGGCCCTCTCCCTTGAACAGAGGCTTCATGGGAAGGTTATTTTCAAGGTGATGTAATTTCCCTCCATGCTATGGACAGCTTTGTTGGCAACCTTAACTCCAGGAGACCGGATTTCTACTTATCTGCTATAACCCATCCATCTGCTAGATGGGAAAAAATCTCTCCTTCAGGACCCCTATGTTCAGTTTCCTGGGCAAGGGATCAGACTACGATATCTAGGTCCAAACTGGCCCCCCTGAGGAATCTCAGCCCCATTACCCCTGTTTCTCTTGTCCTGAGGGAAAATATATTTTTGTCTGATGGTGACAACTCAGGAGTTGAAAGTCAGCATTCAGGGACGAGAAGGTCTGGCCTACCCCCCCATCTCCTAACTTCACAAGGGTTGCAAAGATTGTGTCTAGACGACTGTAAGGCACTGTAGATTGGTCTCCCCTGTATTGTGTCTTCACTGAGGCCTTAAGAAAAATGTCTTGTCCTTTAATAGAAGCTAAGCAGCTACATGGATTATAGGCATTATTTATGTCCATATCATTAAAAAAATCCTTCTCTAAATGTACATCAGACTGTAAGAGGAGGAGGCCAAGCCATTTCTGGTCAGCTGGCAATCCTGCTTGTTGTGCATTTCTCTTGCAGGGCGCTGTGATTTCAATGACCAGATCCCTGGCCATCGATGAGAGCAAACACGGAGTACGAGTCAACTGGTAAAAGTGATTATTAAACATGATTATTAAAGTGATTATTATGATTAAAAGTAATACAGAACCCTTGGGGCACAGTGTCCTTTGCAGAATATTATCAGGAAAGAAAGCCCAATGCCAGGAGCTTATAGGCAAAGTTTTTAGCTGAAAAAATTAAAGAGGTAACAGAAGGAGAACATAATAATAACAACAGGAAACTGGCACTGTAAGAGTCTAATATCCAGTCAAGTGGACTGAGTTCCTTTTTCTGGAGAAGGTATAAGTGGCGCAAAGTCCCCATATTTCTTTTCCCTTTCCAATGCACAGAAACGCAAAAAACAAAAACAAAAAGACTGGGTGCAAAATATGGTATCTTCTAGAATTAAAATTTAGGAAATGAATCACATTATTTTCAAATCTACTGGAATAATCTGACTTTCCTTAAGGCCGTGCATAGGGAGTGTCTTTAAATATAATAGTGTACATTGGCATTTGTGATCCCACAAGGGTGGCCAGCTGTGGGTTGGGAAATGCCTTGGAGATTTTGGGGGTGGAGCCTGGGGGGAGGAGGGTCCACCCACCAAAGCAGCCGCTTTCTCCAGGGGAGCTGATCCTGGTTGTCTGGAGATAAAGTGCAACAGTGGGAGATCTCCAGGTGCTACCTTTGACATTGGCCACCCTAGATACCACCAAAGCACCAAAACTGGTGAACCTGCAGATACAGAAGATGTGTGTGGGGTGTCTCCATACTAGTGGGTCTCCCCCAGGTGTGCAGGAAAGTACAACTTTGTGAAGTAACTAGAAGAAATTTAAGAGGCTGAGGAGAAAAGACAGCTTGAAAGAGAACCGAATCTGCTCCAGGAATCCCAGAATGTAAAGAGCATCTTAGAGTCAGTTAAAGGCAGGGGTTTTTTTGTAGAAAAAGGCCAGCAGGAACTCATTAGCATAATAGGCCACCCCCAACAGCAGAAATGTATTAGCATATTAGACCACACCGCTGATTGCACAGCTCATTAGCATATTAGGTCACACCCCCATGCCTTCCCTTGGCTTGCCCAGGCACCCTGTGGCTGCGGGGAGCCCGGGGAAGCCGGCCTTGGAGGAGAGGGGAGGTAGGGGAGGCATTTAAATGCCACCCCAAACCTTCCAGGGCCCCCTCTGGCCTGCCCACCTCAGAGTCACCGGGAGAGTCGCTCACCAGGCCTTCCCTCTGTAGCCACACATGTAGCTGTAGGCATGGGCGTGGCCAACTCAGAAGCCAGCCGGAACTCCGTTCCTGTGCGTTCCTGCCCAAAAAGAGCCCTGGCAACTTAAAGGAGAAAAATTGTGTGAAGAGGAGAAGACATCAGCCTGCTTAAGTCCTCCCCCTAAGAGCTTATAGAATCATGGAGGAGGATATTTGGTGACAAAGATATTACTTTCAAGTTGTATAGCCCCAACCCCCCCCCTCCGTGATTTCTTGCAGGCCCTCAGCTTGTGCAACGAACCCTCAAGTCCTTTAGAAAAATGGATGTTTGCTACTGCTTTTTCTTGTGCCATGAACAATGATTCAGTTCCCTGTGGACTGAAATCTCAAGGGCTGCATTTCATGCTGTATTTTCATGGGATGTATAAATGAATAGTCATGCCAATGATTGTGGGGTGAATCAGTTTATACAGTGTGTTCAACTCTAAGATTGCTAAGAGAGCCAGTTTGGTGTAGTGGTTAAGTGCGCGGACTCTAATCTGGGAGAACCGGGTTTGATTCCCCACTCCTCCACTTGCACCTGGCTGGATGACCTTGGGCAAGCCATAGTTCTGATAAGAGCTGTTCTTGAAAAGCGGCAGGGCCTGAAGCAGCTCTGCCCACGATCTCATCATTCCAGCTTACTTTCATCTCTGACTCTACTGCACTAAACCTCATACTTTCTTTCTATTTCCTCAACCTGAGATACTGGAAGCGAGGGAGTCAGGGGCTGGCTATGGGGATCGTACCTCCCCTGTGCAGGAAGATCTGCACTGCCTACCCATCAGTTGCTGGCAAGACAGCCTATCCACAGTGCTGGTTCTTAGCTTCAAGGCTGCCAATGGCTTGGAGCCAGGGTCCTTGAATGACCCCCCCTCCTATATTGTCCACACCCTCTGCCGCCAGTTAAGTCCTGCTCCTGAAGCCCTGCTCTGTGTGCCTACAGAGGTGATGTGGGTGATTGTGAGGCCCCGACCCCTCCTCCATCTGAGACCAGTGTTCCCTCTAAGCTGAGTTAGTGTGAGCTAGCTCACAGTTTTTTAGCCTCCAGCTCACACATTTTTGTCTCCGCTCAGGAAGGAGGGCTCCAGAGCAAACTAATTTTATGCAGCAGCCAAATCACTCGCTCACCACTTTAATGCCAGTAGCTCACAAAGCAGAATTTTTGCTCATGAGACTCCACAGCTTAGAGGGAACATTGACTGAGACCCCACAATCTCATTTCCCAATCTCCTATTACTTGTTTTGAAGGGCCCTGAAAAACGAATCTCAAAAATGCACCTGTTCTGCTGTGACCAAGGTCAATTCTATCACAGAGGCAGGGTGTCACTGGAATGCATGAAGTGCTTACCAAGGGACACTTCCAAAAGGCAATATGAACCATTTCTGGCTGTAGACAGTTGGGCGACTCTTAAGTATCACTAATCGAACCCAGCCATTGGTAAAGAAAGCCTAGCACCCGGGATCCACCCGGGATCAGCCACCAGGAGAACCTTTCAACCCATGATTCATGCTTGGTCCTTTATCAGTATGCTAAATGTGAGCCAGTTTGGTGTAGTGGTTAAGTGCGCAGACTCTTATCTGGGAGAACCGGGTTTGATTCCCCACTCCTCCACTTGCACCTGGCTGAATGACCTTGGGCAAGCCGTAGTTCTGATAACAGCTGTTCTTGAAAAAGAGCAGTTTCTGTCAAGAGCTCTCTCAGCCCCACCTACCTCCCAGGGTGTCTGTTGTGGGGGGGGGGAGGGAAAGGAGTTTGTAAGCCGCTCTGAGACTCCTTTGGGTAGTGAAAGGCGGGGAATAAATCCAATCTCTTCTCTTCTTCCTCTTCTCAATAAGATAATAAGAAAGACGCTTCTTCAAAACTCATTCACTAGGGGATATATTTCTTGATGCTTTATATTAACCCTGCCCTTTTAAAATTTCCAAACATTTTGAATCCTAGCATCACACCATCTTTTATCTGGACTCCATTGGTGAAAACGTATGTAACCGCGTCACCGAATCCAAAGAAGACAATGCAGAAAATCGTCGATTATCATGTAAGTGTTTTGTGGGGAAACCGGGGTGGTGGTGCTGCTGCAGGTGAACGGTTCTCCTCAAGGTGGCCATCCTCTGGGCGGGGCCTGAAGTTCTCCCAGAAGGACAACTCCTTCTTTTACTAAGTTGGAGAACTTCCGGCCAGGGGTCATTTCGTAGAAAAAGAGGTGCAGGAGCTCATTAGCATAACTTATTTGCATATACCACACCCCCTGACATCACTGGAAGAGTGTCAGAAGGCAACACCCACCGCTTAGGCTCCACTGGACTGTTTTGAATTGCTAGCTATTGGGGGGGGGATGTGCAGATCTGTCCTCGCAGAGGAGGGAGAGCTTGTACCTGAATAAAACTTGGTCTTAAAGGTGCCACTGGACTGTTTGGGGCTGGAGGGTCAGGGGGGAGCTCTGCAGCTTACCTGCCTGCTTCTTGCTCTGCCTGAGGGCTGCTGGGAGCAGGGGGTGGGGCTTGTTGCATGTGCCCGCTTCCTGGGCTCTTTACTGCTGGAGCTCCGCTCCTGTTCGCTCCTGCAGGAAATGACCCCTGCTTCCAGCCAGACTCCAGTCTTCCATGCTTGGGCAAGGTGTTTGGGCGGGTTGTTGCTTCCCAGCTCCAGGGGCTCTTGGAAGAGCCTGATTTTCTGGACCCATTTCAAATTGGCCTCAGGCGTGGATTTGGAACAGAGACTGCTTTGGGTCGCCTTGGTTGATAACCTCTACCGAGAAACCGACAGGTGGAATGGGACTCTGCTGGTGCTGCTGGTTCACTCAGGGGCCTCCAGTGCTATCAGCCACAGTATCCTACTGAGCCGCCTGTCAGTGCTAAGACTAAGGGAGCTCATATGATGGGAGTTCTAGTCCTAGTCCGGGGTGTGTGTGTCGGTCTCAGAAGGCAGTGCTGGGGGATTATCACTCTGCCTTGTGGCTGTTGGCCTGTGGGTTTCTGCAGGGTTTGATCCTATCCCCCATGCTGTTTAATATCCAAGTGAAAATGCTGGAAAAGGTCATTGGGATGTTTGAGCTGTGGTGTGACCAATATGTGGAGGATACCCAGCTGTACCATACGTTGCCACCTCATTCTGAAGATGCTGTTGATGTTCTGAACTGGTGCTTGGAATCCGTAACGGGTTGGATGAGGGTGAACAAGCTGAAACTTAATCCTGACAAGACAGATTTTCTCCGGGTTAGTAGAAAGGTAGACCAGGGCCTTCGGATGTCTCCTGTCTCGGAGGGGGTTATACTCCCCTTCAAAAGACAGGTCCACAGCTTGGGAGTGCTGCTCGACATAGCAGTTACCTTCGAAAACTCGGTGGCTGTGGTGGTTCAGAGCACTTCCTTTGGCTGGTGCATTAGCTGCATCCATTCCTGGTTCAATCAGAGCATAGCCATGGTGATGCATGTCTTCGTTAAATGTAGACTGGACTACTGCATTGTGCTCTGCTTGGGGCTACCCATGAAGAGTGTTCAGAAGCTACAACTAGTACAGAATGAAGTGGCTAGATTTCTGGTTGGGATCATCAGTCTGGAGCATGTCGCCGCATTTGCACTGTCTACCAATCCTCTCCCAAGCCCAATTTGAAGGTTGGGGTGCTATGTTTCACACTTTTTTTGGCCTTCAAAGCCCTCCTGATTTCGGATTGGAGAATCTTCTTCCATATGTTCCTCCTTGGGAATTAAGATCCCAGGGAGAGGCTGTCTTTACTGTCCCATCAATCAAAGGAGCTCCTTTGGTGGGTACACATCAGAGCGAGGGCCTTTTCAGTAGCAGCCCCATAACTATTGAACAAGCTCCTCCCCAGAGATGTGCACCTGGCCCTCTCCCTTTCGATCTTTAGGAGGTAGTTAAAGACAGTTTTATTTAGGATTGCATTTACCTGCAGTAGGGTCGCCAAGTGTTTTTAAAGCCGCAGCGGGGGACTCCCGGCTGGCGGCTGGAGTGCGTGCAAAGCTCACACGCGCCGCACGGACGTCACCCGGCACGCTGGGGGCGGGGCCACGACCACCCAAGGAAAAACAATAGAAAACCGGGGTGGGGTTCTCCCTGGGGCCGCTGGCGGGGAACGGGCCTCTGGGGCAGGGGTTTCCCCCCCCCCGGGGGACTTGGCAAGCCTAACCTGCAGTCCCAAATTGTGCTTTTTGTGTAGGGTGTTTTTCTTGTATTTTATGTATTCTATTTTATGTATTTTACATATATCGTAAGCTATCGAGCAGTGCAAGAAGCAAAGGTGGCTATTAAATGTGTTAAATAAATGAATATTCTCCAGGTGACACTGGCCAGGGGAAAACAGCAGTCCTAGCATGGCTGCAGAGGGTGGATGCTCGCAGACTTCAACTTGTCCAGTATAGGAAGAAGCTGGGCTCCCTCCCCTCCCCAAACTTTGCCCTCCCCGGGCATTGCTTCTGCGTCTCCCAAGGTGGAATTGGCAATCCAACTTCCTCCACATCTAAGGTGGTAACAAGAAGAAGGGCTGTGTATACAAAAATGGAAATTTAAAATTCTGCACCGAGGAAATCTGAGTTTCTACAGCTAGTCAATCCTGCCCCTCTCAGATTCAGCTCCTGCGATCTCATAATCTTACTTCACATGTGATGGGTATAGAATACTACATTTATCTCTTTTGATTTGCACATTTACAGCTTATGGGACGTTTGGGGACCACAGAAGAAATGGCCTTGGCTGCTCTGTTCCTTGCTGCAGACGCCACTTTCTGCACTGGTTTAAACCTTGTGATCAGTGGCGGAGCTGAAGTCGGCTTTGGGGAGAAGAACGAGGTGGATCCTAAGCCTGAGCCATGTGGGGGTGGGAACTCCCAGGATTCCTCCGGCAAGCCATCGAGCTGTGATGAGCTGTTGGGATAAGAGCTAAGGGCACAAATGTTATTTATTCAAAGTCATCCTTCCAAGAAGAAGATCTCCACAATGGTGTTGTATCATGTTGTTGTTCAGTCGCACAGTCGAGTCCGACTCTTCGCGACCCCATGGACCAGATCCCGCCAGGCCATCCTGTCTTCCGCCGTCCTCTGAAGTTTGCTCAATTTCATGTTCGTTGGTGGCCAAAGTATTTGAGCTTCAGTTTCCTTAACTGGCCCTCCAGGGAACAGTCAGGGTTGATTTCTTTTAGGATTGACTGATTTGATCTTCTTGCAGTCCAAGGGACTCTCAAGAGTCTTCTCCAGCATCATAGTTCAAAAGAATCTATTCTTCGGCGCTCGGCCTTCCTTATAGTCCAACTCTCGCAGCCATACATGACTACTGGGAATACCATTGCTTTGACCATGCGGACTTTTGTTGGCAGGGTGATGTCTCTACTTTTTATATAATATAATATAATATAATAAATATAATATAATATAATATAATATAATAAATATAATATAATATTTTATATATTTGTATCATGATGTTGTAGCAAAAGAAAACAAAGCAAGAGACGTTTAGTGTTGGACTAGGAGAACTCCGCAATGGAACTCACTGGATGCCCTGGGGTACACTGCGCATGGACACCCAGTGCGAGCTGCCACACAGGATGTTGTGAGCAGAAAGAGGAGGGCCATGCGCGTCACCTTAGGCTTTTTTTTTTTTTTTGAGGAAAGGCAGAATCCAAATGTCCCTTTAAGACACGCTGATAAAGAAGACTCATGTTCTGTATTCTTGCAGGCAGAGTTGCTACTTTTCAAACTGGCCTTTTGCTGGTGTCTTTAGTATCGGTTTGATCTACACAAAGATCAGGGGGGTGTCATTCACGTCCATGCCATGGAAAGCTTCAACTGCCCATTTCCACACATGAAGCCCCCATTAGGGGACAGGACATTCTTCCCTAGGCCTGTTGGCCACCCTGCTTCCCGGGTTTCCTGTCCTGTAACGTCTAAGAGGCAAGTAAAAATTAAACATGTCTACCTGTCCTAGAATGAAAGATGGCAGCTCCATCTTGAATTCAGCTTAGGCTGGCCCTGGCTCTGATAGTGTAAGTGAGAGCTGAGCCCTGGAATGTCTCTTCTCTATTTCGGCTTCATTTGGTCATATGCAGGGCGCTTTTTGTAGAAAAAGCCCAGCAGAAACTCATTAGCATAATAGGCCACACCCAACAGCAGAAACTCATTAGCATATTAGACCACACCCCTGTTACCAGAAGGGTGGTCATCCAGCCACACCCACCTTTTGCTTCTTATTCTGTGGACATTGTTTGTTGTCAAAACCCAGGGCTTTTTTTGTAGCAGGAACTCCTTTGCATGTTAGGCCACACCCCCTAATGTAGCCAATCCTAATGAGATCCTGCTGGGCGTGGCCAACTCGGGAGCCAGCGGGAACTCCGTTTCTGTGCGTTCCTGCCCCAAAATAGCCCTGGATATGAATGTGCCCCTGAACAATGAGACCAGGAAATGATTGAACTTCATTAAATGTCTCCTGTTGATATTATCTGTTTAGTTCCTCTTGACTAACAACGGTGCCTTTTCTGATCCCAGATCTCATCATGCAATAAAGAAACACTTCATTCAATAAAGACTGACAGAAAAGTGTGTGGGAGTGAACTGAGTATGGAGTAACCTAATCCATTTTCCCACAACAGGCTGAGAAGACAGTTTGAACGCATGTCGTTAAACAGAGAAATGCCAGTAACAGGACAGAAGATTCATAAAGGGAAGGAAGTGTGGTAAAAAATAAACCATTAAAAAAGAGGTGTGAGAAACCTCTACACAAAATAGTTTTCAGACAAACCTTCCCAGCCAGTTGAGAGTAGAGAGCATGGGCAGTAACCAGGGGGTAAACTGGACACGTTTACTTCAATTTAAGACATGAGCCATTAATAGCAGTCTAAACTGAATGGATACAAAAGGGGTAAAGATGTGTGGAAACAAAACTGAAGGAAGGAAGGGAAAGTTCAAAGAAAAGAATGGAGAGGAAGTAAAGAAAGAGATGCTTGTACAACGTACAATGTAGTCTTGAGGGTAACTGTTAAACAGTGGGTTCCATGGATGAATAGACGCCCAGTCTAGTGATCGGCTCTACTTTAATCAGTGATTTCAGCAAGAACCAGACTGTGGACCCGAGGCTCAATTCGGTTATATTGCATGCCATGGCCACACCCCAATGCACCCCACTCCCAACGATAGGCTATTTACAAAACTTTACACCTTGATTGGTTACTGCCAGAATCCCGTTGGTCTATTGCTATTTGGCTCTAAGCTCACCCTTTCTCTGGCAGCACAGTCCAACACTTTTTTTTTAAATCCCCTGAAGACAGGGTAGCTTTATTGTTTTTTTTTGTTACACCTTACAAACTAAAAGAAAAAGAAAAGGGGAAGGAAAAAACACCCCGGGATTAAAGAAAAGTAATTTAGACCCACACTATGACTAAAACCCCAAGAGGGGAGATCATTAGCAGTTAGTATCCAGTTGTTATTAAAAAAAATTCTGCCTGCATATCAATGAGTTAGAGAGTTAGTCGGTTCGTGTTAGCATTCCAAACAGTTGGCACAGTCCTACACCTTGATTGGTTACTGCCAGGATCCTGTTTTGGTCTATTGTTATTCGGCCCCAAGCTCATCCTGTCTCTGGCTGCACAGTCCTGCAACGTTTCAGTCCCAATAAATAACAGTAACTGAAGGAAGGCTGGTGGCTTCGATCTGGAAAGCAGAACCTTTTAAATAGGAGAGTGTCAGAAGTGGAGTAGGAGGAGTAAGGACACTCAGGGGGGTTACATGCAACACAGCTCAAGAAACAAAGTATTGGAAAGAAATTCATCAAATGATAATTCAAATAATTCAGCTACAGATTCCTTTAGATCCACAAATTATTCTACTTAGTATTTTATCTACTAATCTTCAGAAACATGATAAATATCTGCTGTTGCATTTACTAACAGCGGCAAGAATATCTCTGGCAAAATTTTGGAAGAAAGAAGAACTCCCATCCAAACAAGATTTTGTAGATAAAACCATACAGGTGGCGGAATTAGATAATTTAACCATGAAACTGCATGGAAGAAATGACAGTCTATTTTCAAATAGTTGGACGAAACTGTATACTTGGCTAGACAAGAATGTTTAGAATATGGATATGTAATCTCCCTTATATATAAAAGCCAAATGGTGGTGGCACTTCTCTAGAACATTCCACACGCTCTGGAATTGGTTGGCGCCCTGGTGTGTCACTCAGAATCTGTCCCTATCCACTGGCTGCATTGCTTGAGTCTTACCTCCAACATTCTAAACAGTTTGCTGTTCCTCCCCCCCCCATAGCCAGTCAGAACACAGAGGTTATTTGCATATGCAGCCTCATTGGCCTTTGCCTCGGAACACAGAGGTCGTTTGCATATGCAACTTGATTGGCTTTTGCCTCTAACATTCTAAACAGTTTGCTGTTCTGAGGTAAAATGTGTCCTATCTCCAGGTGAGGGCTGGAAATCAGTCAGAATTACAACTGCTTTCCAGATGGCAGAGATCAGTTCCCCTGGAGAAAATGGTGGGCTCTGTATCCTTA